TTTTTGTCTGTTTTGAGACAGGGTCTCACTGTGCAGTTCAGACTGGCCTTGAGCTCACTTTGTAGCCCAGGCTGGTCTTGAACTCACAACAATTCTCCTGCCTCAGCCTCGCAAGTGCTGGGATTATAGGCATGTGCCACCATGCCCAGCTGCTTTTATCAATTTGAGGAAAGATTTTCCTATATTTTTTTTCAGGGTTTTCATCATGAAAGAAAAGTAAATTTTGTCAGGGGCTTTTTGTGCATCTATCGAAGTGATCATATGGTTTTTATCCTTGGTTCTGTTTATGTGGTACACTAGATTTACTGATTTACCTATGTTTGAAGCATACTTGTATCCCTGGGGTGAAACCAATTTGGTCACAGGGTCTGATCTTTTTAATGTGTGGGTGAATTTTGTTTGCAAGAATTCTATTAATTTTTGCACCTCTGTTTGTCAAGGACAGTGTTCTGTATTTCACTTTTTTAGTTGAGTCCTTACTTAATTTTGGTATCAGGTTGATGCTGGCTTTGTAGAAAAAATCTGGAAGCATTGCTTCCTTTTCTGTTTCATAGAAAAGTTTGAGGAGCATTGATGTTACATCTTCTCTAAAAGTCTGGTAAAATTCAGTAAATCTATTGCATACTACTGCGTTTTTTGTTTTTCTTTTTGAGACAAGGTCTCACTATGTAGTGCAGCCTTATGTAGCCTAGGCTGGCCTCAAACTCACAGTGATTCTCCTGCCTCAACCTCATCAGTGCTAGGATTACAAGTGTGTGCCACCATGGGCTTTTCTTATTTGGGAGTGTTTTTAGTATTTCAATCTCATTACTTCTCATCGATAGATTTAGACTTTTTGGTATCTTCTTGGTTCATTTTGATAGGTCATATGTTGTTTAGAAATGTTCTATTTCCTCTACATTTTCTAATTTGTTAATTGTAAAGTTTTAAAAAATAGCTTCTAATAATATTTTAGAGCTGTCGTACAATTTTACCCTTTCATCTCTCTTTTTTTGTTTTGTTTTGTTTCGTTTTTTTTCTTCCGGTACTGGGAATTGAACTCATGACCCTGCGCTTGCCAGGCAGGCGCTGTGCCGCTGAGCTAAATATCCAGCCCCTCAGCTCTAATTTTATTAATTTGAGTCTTTTCTTTCAGTAGGTTTGGCTAAGGGTTTATAAATCTTGTTTTCTTTCCCAAAGAACCAACTTTTGATTCAGTGATCTTTTGTACTGTCTTTTTATTATCTATTTAACTAACTTCTGCTCTGATCCTTATTACAATGACACCTCAGCACACAAATTTCTTTCTGCAATTCTGGTCGCAAATCCAACTGGTTGCAAACTGAATCAAATTCAATGATTGGGTTCAATGTTGACCTTATACGGAAATTTGATTTGGTTTGTGACCAGAATCATGGAAAGAATTAAGTTCATGAACTGAGGTAGCACTGTATTTCTTTTCTTTAACTGGATTTGGGTTTGTTGTTTTTCCAAGACCTTGAGATATACATCATTAGGTTATTTACTTGGGGTTGCTGTGTTTCTTTTTTTGGGTCCCAGTGACTGAAATCAGGAACTCCACATCGAGATATGCTTCCAGCACTCTCACTGCAACTTTTTAAATTTTTCAGACAAGCTCTTCCTAAATTGCCCAGGCTTGGGTTATACTTGTGATCCTCTTGCTTCAGCTTCCCAGCATGCTGGGATTATAGATGTGTGCCAATAGGCCAGTTTGCTCAGTTTTGCTGATGTCGACAATCACAATTTAAAACTTTCTCTTAGAACTGTTTTCATTGTGTACCATAGATTCTGATATGTCACATTTCCAGTATCATTTGACTGTAGGAATTTTAGTATTTCTTCCTTGATGCAATGACCCACTGTGTGTGTGTGTATATATATATATATAT